CTGAAAGATTCCAGGAAAGCAGGATGACTTCTAGGTTAGCAAATTCTCCAAGTAAGATCTTCACACAAGGAGCAGGGCCTAGGGACATGGGCTTGGTAAACACTGCATCAACTTTATGTACAGATCTCACAGAATCACAGAATTGCTCGGTTGGAAAAGCCCTCTGAGATCATCACGTCCAACCGTTCCTGCCTACCCCCTAAACCATATCCTTAAGTACCTCGTCTACCCGCTCTTTAAACACATCCAGGGATGGTGACTCCACCACCTCCCTGGGCAGCCTGTTCCAGCTTCTGACGACCCTCTCAGGAAAGAACTTCCTCCTTCTCTCTCCCCTGAACCTCCCTTGGCACAGCTTGGTGCCGTTTCCCCTTGTTCTATCCCCCATCACCTGGGAGAAGAGACCAGCACCCACCTCTCCACAAGCTCCCTTGAGGCAGTTGTAGGTGGTGCTGAGGTCTCCCCTCAGCCTTCTCTTCTCCAGGCTGAACAAGCCCAGTTCCCTCAGCCGCTCCTCATCAGGCTTGTTCTCCAGAGCCCTCCCCATCCTTGTGGCTCTTCTCTGAACACGCTCCAGAATCTCAACATCCTTCTTCTAGTGAGGGGCCCAGAACTGAACACAGCACTCGAGGTGCAGCCTCACCAGTGCCCAGTACAGGGGGATGATCACCTCCCTGGCCCTGCTGGTCACACTGTTTTTAATACAGGCCAAGATGCCGTTGGCTTTTCTGGCCACGTGGGCACACGTACACATCTCACATCACTGTATATAAAATACATACCTTTGTCACTATAAACACCTGCAATTTTGTGGTGTATTTTCAGACTTGGAAAGAAAATACTGCAAGTCTGTTTGTCTTTACTTTAACCAAGCTGAAATTAAGAGTGATGTTCAAGGTTGCTGGCTAACGCCAGAACATTCCAATCACTACACATAGAAATTCTGACTCACTTGCCTGGGGAAGGAAATGCAATCCAGGCTGTATAGAAGTGTAGCAAGATACGCCTATCCTTAAATTACATAAGGCTGCTTGAAGATGACCAACACACAGATCTAAGAAAAAGTGGCTATTTTAATGATCCAAATAAGACAAAATCTCCCCAGCAACATAAGCAGGGAGTACATTCAAGTCAAACTCCAGAAATACTGAGCGAGTTTTGTAGCAGCAACAAAAACGCTCATTATGCAAAATCATTGCTCCCGTGAGCCATTACTGTAGCCTGAAAGAGGCTGAAGTAATCTGCTTCTTCAGGCTTTAAATACACACCATGCGGAGAATGGCATGGGCTAGTTTGTGGTTTACTTCTCTACCTTCCCTCTTCAAACCAACGTACAGGCAAGTAAAATTAAGACAGTCACTTCTAAAACACATCAAGAGTCAGACTAATTATGCAAAATTTAAGATTCAAGGCGTTAACTTTTACTCTCCTGTTACTGCTCTTGAGAGCTGAAAGTGCACACCACACCATTAGAGTTATTAGCATCGCTGCCTTCTGCTTAGGCCTTTGATCCCTTGCAAATTATCTTCAAAAGCCAGAACAAAGAAAGGCCGTAAGTATTGCCCCAGTCCATTTATTTCCACTACAGTGTGACTATAAACCCTTGCTTCCATTTCCACTTGTACTTTCCCATTTGACAGGATGCCACACACATACCTAGAATGATGTTTTCATCATTGGGATCAAGTGTCAATACAGGGGGATCCAAGTAGGTTTCCATTGCCTGATCATCCCAGATGATATTGTCTTCCCAACGGCCATATACCAACTCTTCATTGTCAATTGGGAAAATAGAGTACCAGGGCTTGTCTTCATCCAGGGAAACTGCAACGATCATAAAGTAGAATCCTTAAAGAATTTTATACACTGCCTTTTCAGAGCTCAGCCCCACGTCTCATTCCCTCAACCTTCCCCATCTTTCAGGGCTTTCTGAGGCAGGACCGCTAAAAGGCGAAAGAAAACTCATCTTGGAAGCAAAGAGAAAGCTGAGCCCCAAGTCTCAGCTTTATCAACATTTAGAGATTTGGCTCCACTGAAATACAGAGAACCTCCAAGAATGAAATAAGGCCTCTAACAGGTTTTACAGCAAACGCACATCCCTTTTATCTACATCTTGTTGCCACAAAAAGGACCCTGCTGAAACACAGAACACGAGCCCGTACAGAACCATGCATCACATGCACCTACTCATAGGCCAAAGACTGAGATCCTCTTTACCTTGCTGTTCAGGAGCCTGCTTTTCTTTGCCCTTGGCCATACCTAGGACTCCTGCTACATTTGGTTTCTGTGCTAGTGGAATTGGTGGATTGAGCAAAGAGCCGCTGCGGTTCAAACCTAGAGGAAAAGCAAACAAAAATAAGGTTAGCTTGAGTGGGAAGGTTAGGGGGCATTGCAATGCTTTGAAACACAACCTGAGGGGTTGCGTGGACAGTGATTTCCAGCCTGAACCAGAGCGGGCCTCCTGCTTGTATCACAGAGAGCGTCATGTGCCATTAGCACGGGTAAGACTTACAAAAACACGTTCACCCACAGCTTACAGCTGTGTCTGCAGCCTCTTCAAAGTTATGTTTAGTTTGCTTGGCATATGCTGCATGACAATGCAAAGGATGCACTTCTATATGGACCCCATGAAAGTGAGAGGCCTCGAGCAGATGGTTGCCACTGTCAGAACAGTTGGTCTGGCCTCCAGCAGCTTCCTGTCTTATGTTAAACTGTCACAGAAAAAGGGTGGCCAAGCAGACCTCAAGGAATTGTTTTCTGGAGGCAGCTTCTCCCAGGGCAGACCAACTCACCTATGCCCACATGTCCCTCATGTCACTTAACGCTTCTGGAAGGCACAAGACCTAACGCATGTGAACAGACCAAGCATGTTTAACATGTTACTGTAGCTTCTGATGAAACTCAAACACAGCAAGCCCAGGCCTGGATAGCTCAGGCACAACCACACCAAAAGGAAAATTCACCTACTGAGCTCCTCAGAGTGCCTTGTACTCAAAGATGAGCATTAAAGGATTGCCACTAGTACCCAATAAAGATCTGACGTTCCCATTAGCCTTTCCTTGTAGAAGCAGGATAAGATATAACAATCAGATGATAAAAATTAATTCTATACAAGCAATTTAAATTTAAAATGCATCCGTGTCTAAGAGAAGTCTGAGGCTTGTAAGAATTGTTACTTTATATCTAGAAAAAAAAGAACACCCTTATTAGTTCAGGAGAAACTTCAGAAGACTTTTGCACAATTCTTCCAATCAAAAGAAACAAACAAACAAAAAACATTTAAAGGCAATTCCATTGGCCTATAAACAGCGTACACCTTCAGTGTAGCACTGCTTGATACTAACGTAGGTAGATCTAGCATCTGCTCTTCCACATGGAGAGAAGAAAGTCAGCACTGATATTTTCTTTAACAGAAGGGACCTACTTTGTTTTTGGAAAGAAAGCAGGAGTCTCAGAATTCTGAGCAGAGCTGTGATTTTGCCAAAAACCATTCCCTGACAGGCAGGACTATGTTCTGTATTTCAGATGAAAGCATCCAATGAGTCAGCTCGACTACAGCAAGTACAATTCATACGAGAACATTGACTACCTTGTTGGGCATTGTATGCAGTGGCATTTCTAGTCATGCTGGATGGCAGCCAGCCTGCCAAACTTGCCCGCTGTGTCTTAGTTCCTTTGTGCTTGACATCTTCTCCATTCCAGATAACGTCATCCTCCCATTGGAGCTGTGTCACCATGAGGAAGTGCTCATCAGCCAGCAGATCATCCTTCTCATCCATCAACCCTGCATCCTGGAAGGAAAGAACAGCTGCTTGAAGGTCTGCCTTGAATTTATACTTTCAAACAAAAAGGGGAAAATTAAAAGTCTCATTTTGCAAGGTGCATAACCATCCACTGGCCCATCACCAAGCTCTAACAGTGCAGCAAGCCCCAATGCCACACACATGTCCACACCTTTCCCCCCACAGTTCCCCTCTCACCCTCTCATCTGTGCGTCCTTTAACCTCCTGGTCCTTGTCCTTCTCTTTCAGCTTGAAACCATAATCAAATCCACTGCCATCTTCGGGGATCCCCAGCATATCGTACCAGAGTTGTGCTGGGCCATAGCGCCATTCTGCCACTTTAGGCTTTGTATCTGTCACTTTGTCTGTATCACCAGTTGACTGGGAAAACTTCGATTCCACAGGGGCCATCATGGTAATCTGCAGCACAGCAAAGGAGGGGACGGTTACACTGATGGTCTGCCTAAGTGTCACTAAGAGGTTTCTTCCTTCCAAGCTTCCCAGCTTATTCTCAGAGGAAAAAAGTATTTCTAAGAAGTGTTTTCCATACTTACTAGCTGCCTTAAGAACGTTCTGCAATTAGACTTCCAAGAACACAGAGATTTCTTCTCGATACAAAAAGGATAAGCTTTCCTATTGATCCCGCACCACGGATGCAGCCTTCTCAGTAAGAAGCAATCACCTGAAGTCACTGACTAGCACCTGGAGGAGAGCTCCTGCACAGCTGGAATACAAGCCAACTCTGTCCTCCAGTTTTACTCTGGAGGAAAAGCTCTTTACTCTAAAAGTTGCTGTCCAATCCACTATTACCCCCAGTACCAGCTGGCGACTCTCTCTAAGTCTCAGATATCCCACCTCATCATCTGAAAGGCACTGCTCAGGAGGAGGAGGAGCAGCAAACTCATATTCCCAAGGAGATTTTCCTTCCATTCCACTCTGAACTACAACTTCACCCTCCTGTATCTGCACTTCTTGGGCCAACTCCCGATGTTTCTTCTTGCGTTTCCTTCGGGCGCTACGCCAAACCGATGGGACATTCTTTCCAGGGCCAAAGAGACGCAGGAAACGCAGCACCTGGAATAGGAAAAAACCAAGAGGGTCAGAGGACAAAAACCACAGTGGAACGCTTGTCTGTCTGTCCCTCACCTGCAAAGCAGTAATGAGAGACAGCAGCCTGAAATTCAGAAGCTTGGCCTGTGCTACAATCCCAGCCCCAATGCAATCAACAGCCTCTTGGTTATACTTGGGAAAAAAAAAGCTTCTGATCCATCTGTTTGATGGATCCTTCCTTTTAAAAAGGATTCATGCTTTATTTCAGACCTAAACAAACTCCACAGGGGGAAGAAAGACTGCCTTTCCATATTGGGCATGTGGTAAGGCACCACCTGGAAATAACTCTCTTCATTTTCAACGATCCACAATCATCAGAAAGACACAGAGAGATTGAAGGAGATTTGATAAAATTATTAGCAAAAGAGACAATGCTAGAAGACAGTTATAGAAATCCCAGATTTCTTAAGCGACCAGACAAAAACAAAGAGCACAGTCCAGAAATAACACAATATAATTCAATTTTATGTCCATCATAACGCAGTTCCCCTGTATGCACACTGCACACCTCCAAAACCTGTACTAACGACAACGACAAACTTTCCCTTCTGTTTCTTCTACAGTTACAATTGCTGGGTTTTAAGCACTGATCATTGTTTCTTCAAAGCGCTCTTGTAAAGAGGGAAAGCACTATTCCCAAATGAAGCAGATGTAAGAATCAGGAATGTGAACTATACAATTGTAGAGACATCCTATTAACAAGCAGATGTAAGAATCAGGAATGTGAACTATAGAGTTGTAGAGACATCCTATTAACGATCCCTGTTCATCTGTTCTGCTGATCCCCAAAGGAAATCACGTTTCTATGACTACTCTGTCCATCTCTGCCCACATCCACGTTATCCTTCCTCCCAAAAGTGCCCCAGATTACTTGTGAACCCTTTGGCCCATTTCAGTGACCTTTCACCAAGAGCAAAGGTCTCAGACACAGTTAAGCTGCTAACAACTTAATAAAACACAAGTTCTGCTTCTCCACATGCGTTTTTAAGTGGTTTCATCGAGAAAAACAGTGCTACATGCACATTCTCAGGCACGAACCAATCCTCATAGCCAAAGCTACAGGATTTCGGGTTTTGTCAGCTCTAGTGCTCGTGAATGAATTATGAAAAGTTCTCAGCATGAACAGCTTCCACTGAGTTCTGCACCCGCTGGGCATGGTCAACACTGAACCAGTCCCAGACGTGACACCTTGAGCGCCAGAGAATTGAACACACCAACTTACGTAAAATACAGTAACACAGGAAACACCACACCTGCAAAAGCCAAGAGAGCATCCAGAAGGCTGACTTCTGTGCTAGAGCCTCACTAGATTTCTGATAGACAGAGGTCAGCTATATCCTGAAAACAGGACATTTAATTATCCAAACTGGTCACAGAATCACAGAATCGCTCGGTTGGAAAAGCCCTCTGAGATCATCACGTCCAACCGCTCCTGTCTACCCCCTAAACCATATCCCTAAGTACCTCATCTACCCGCTCTTTAAACACATCCAGGGATGGTGACTCCACCACCTCCATGGGCAGCCTGTTCCAGCTTCTGACGACCCTCTCAGTAAAGAACTTCCTCCTTAGCTCTGACCTGAACCTCCCTTGGCACAGCTTGGTGCCGTTTCCCCTTGTTCTATCCCCCATCACCTGGGAGAAGAGACCAGCACCCACCTCTCTACAACCTCCTGGTCAGCTCCTTACACAAAGCCTGTGATGGAGGCAGAGAGAAAACCAAGTTATCCTGGCTCACAACCGTCTCTTTGCCAGCTGTAAGCTCATCTTCACTCTCCTCCCCCTCCCACATCTCCTCTCCTCTTGGTGGCTTTAAAATTTTCAACATCATCACTGAAATACAGCGACCTCATTTGCTATTTGGGAGCATTTAGGGAAGTATTGTAATGAATTTGCTTTGTGCGAAAAACGATCATTCTTTCAACCAACTTGTTATTGATTTCTGATCCATACTCAGAGAAGTTTTAAGGGAGGATTAAGTAAAGGGTAGAGATCACAAATTATTTCAGAAGAGCACACCAAGTTCAGGACAGCATCAAAGGAGGAGCAAATACTCGCCAGAAAAGACAGCAAGCAGACAGGTTAGCATTATGTTTTCTATTTATCTGGCAAAATTATTCTCTGCTACCTCAGAAAAACAGTTTTTACAGATCAACGGGCCTGTGCTATGCTCTTACTAACAGCAAAGTATTATTTCACACCCTGATTTATATGATGCTTTTTATGAGGCTCCTGCAAATGGCAGAAAAACCAGCACAGGTCAAGCAGCCCGGAAAGAGCAGCACACAGAAAGCAAAGAAAATACTGAGGTGAGCAAGAACATCTACGCGATTACTTAATGCATACCCTTAACATTATACAATGCATATTTAGAGGGCTTACATGATGCAGTTTGTCACTTCCACATCTCTCTTACAATACCTTGCCTGGTCGAAATTCCGGGAAGAGCTCTGTAACACTTGGCAACTGTTTGGTAGCATCTTGCTGCATGATTCCTGCAAGAGGAAGTGTGAGTTTGCCTTCCTTGGATTCTGCCTGCCTGGCTTCTTGAGGTCCCATCTCTGACTCAGAATCAGAGCTGCTGCTGAAATCCACCTTGTCGGAGGCAGCAGAGGAAGGAGCAATGATGGAGGGCAAAATGATACCGTCTCCATCTTCTGATACTACAATAGAACAAGCACCTTATAAACAAACAGGTTTCCTCCCTGTCCCCTAGTACAACCCCATAATGCCACATCTACTGTTTATACCAAGTTATGCAAAATTAAGTCTCTGCAGGTGTTATGAGTACCATTCTGGTTTAACCTTTCATTTTATCCTAAGCGTTCCAGGTGAATTTCCCAGCCACAACTGAGAGGATGAGATAAAAGAGCAGTTTCATTGTCAGTATCAGTATTTTACAACCACTGAAAATACAGTTCCACGTTTCAGACAATCCTGTAACATTGTATATCAGGACAAAGACCTACCTTCAGATGCAGCCTGCAGACCGAATTCTGACAACGCGTGGTGCTCGCCGCAGAACGAACTGCTACACAGCAGCGTTTGCTTCCTTCAGACACTGACATTGCCAGAGAGAAGAAAGTCTTCACTCACCAGTGGCAGCTGCATCCTTTTCATCTTCTTTCTTTACAGGTACCGGAGGTGGTGGCGGTGGTGGCATCAACTTGGAATCAATATCTTCACAGTCAGCGTCGTAATCATCCTCATCTTCATCTAAGCAGTCAGGAGACAGGACTACACATTAAGCAGGCAAGCAATAAAAGGGAACCAGGCACCTTTCCCATTCATACTATCCCATACCTGTCCCAACCTGATACCACCACCATTCTTCCTACGAGTAAGGAGACCATTCTCATTTTGTAACTAGATGCAAAACTCTTACAAGTTCGGCTTCGCGCACGAACTCATTTGCAAGTTTGAAAACTAAAAAAAAGAGCAGGAAGGAGGGAAAAAGGCAAACTGACAGAAAGACGACTGAAGCACCTGAAATACAGATATATGTATATATCCTGCTATCTCCTCGCCTTATTCACACTTTGCAGAGCAAATAAAGCTGTTAAAGAAGTAAGAAAAATGTGGTCAAAAAGCCCAAATCCCCTTTACATTCCACTAAATACATCAACAGAAAAGTTAAGTGTAAGGCAGCTTTACAGAATACGCAGAGATCTGGCATTTGCACAGGCAGCCACTGAAAGGCAAAAGCTGCCCGTCTCTGAAAACCTGTTCTAGGCCAGACAGAGATCCCTGGGACTAACAGAAGAATCCAAGTGCCTCCTGCAGAAAGGGGTTTCAGAAAAAGACTTCAAGGGTAAAACAGGAGAGAGATATTAAGATTGAAGTGACTCTCTAATTGATTAGGACCTTATCTCTGGGAAGCACCTGGCATCCTGCCTAAATCACTTCCCGAGAACACGGGTTAAAGAAATATAAGCAGGTATCAGGTATTCTCTGCAGGGGACTCCAAAGCAAAGACGAGCCTGGTTTCTATTCTGAGTACAGTTTAACCTTCAAGGGTAAAACAGGAGAGAGATATTAAGATTGAAGTGACTCTCTAATTGATTAGGACCTTATCTCTGGGAAGCACCTGGCATCCTGCCTAAATCACTTCCCGAGAACACGGGTTAAAGAAATATAAGCAGGTATCAGGTATTCTCTGCAGGGGACTCCAAAGCAAAAAGACGATTCTGGTTTCTATTCTGAGTTCAGTTTAACTTTAATGAGGAACTAATTCCTTAAAAAAGGAAGATATCAAGCAGTGGCTCCATTCAGAGAACACAGTTTCACAAAAGTCTGTATCAGGTTCTTGGAGGAGGGAGTGAAAAGACGCAATGTTACCCGTATACAAGACTGTCAAGGCCCACTGCCTCAAAATACCTTCTACAGCTACAGCAGGAACACCGATCCCATTTACCTTGTCTTCGAACTGGCTGCAGGCTGCCCATTGCCTGCTTATACCTACGGCTCTCATCTTCCGCCACTTCATTAATATCTGAATAATCAACAGCATCATCCGTGCTCTTAACCCAGCCTAGGGAAAAAAGAAATCCGGTCACACAAAACTTTCTCCTGATAAATATTCAAGACTTCACTACGTACATATGAACCCCTTCCTATGCTTCCTTTACTCAGAGGAACAAAACCATCTCCCACTGATGTATTTTGTTCCTCATTCCAGCCAGGAGTTCCAAGAGCTCTGTATTTCCCCTGAAAATTCGTAAGGAACCAACTTTAGCACAAGGAACACCTTTCACTTACTCAGTGAAAACTGTTCAACAAGCTCAAAAGTTAAAGAAAAAAAAGAGACATAATAATACTGTGCACTAAATCGGCCTGTTTAACACAGGGGAAAACATAGAATAAATTTATTTATGAGGGAAAAGAGACAACTAAAAAAAAAACTCTGAAAAAATGAAAAAGCACAAGGGCAAAAGTGACGAGGTAACGTGGGATCCACTCTGGCAAGAAGGTGGCAAGGCCTTTGCCAGAGGACGTCTGACCAGATAACCTCACGATATTCCTTGCAGCCCCAGATGAGCTGGGTGCATTTCTTCCTCTCCAGTAAGAGCTCTGGTCCTGTGTCCCCTCAACCCCATCATTTAACTGCAGGTACCCACTAAGACTGAGCCACTGAGGTGATGAGGGGACTGGAGCATCTCCCATACAAGGAAAGGCTGCGAGAGCTGGGGCTGTTCAGCCTGGAGGAGACTGAGGATGGATCTCATTAATGTTTATCAGTATCTAAAGGGCAGGGTCAGGAGGATGGGACCAGAGGCAATGGTCACAAACTGGAACACCAGAGGCTCAACTTAAACAGAAGGGAAAACTTCTTTACTGTGAGAGTGACAGA